TAAATAAATAAATAAACAAACAAACAAACAAACAAACAAACAAACAAATACAAGCAATACCTTTGGGCACTTGAACATTCTTGCTCACATGAAGAGGATCCTTCTCTTCTGATATGCTGCTGCTTGCATGAGCAAAGTGATGAGAGAGGAGGGTGGGGCTAGCCTCTACCCTCTAACTTTATTGGTGAACCTGGATTTCAGAATGATTGAACTGGGCTCAGGACCTTCTGCATCAGTGGTGGACATGCAGACTAAAGAATATGCACTACATTGTCTGCCTGGTACAAATTTACTACTGGGGATGTGATATTGTCTCCACTAATGCAAATACTTTCAATGTTCTTAAGGCACACAATGAAATCAGGGAAGCACCCAGATAAGGAAGTGTCCCTCCAATAATAGCGCACATCTACACTGGTCCCTTTGGTGTGGTTTGAGGTGTTAGCAGGGAGTGATTTGCCATTTGGCACAATCCTCACATCCAAGTGGCATATAAACCTCAAGTAACCCTCTGGCTTCCTCCACTGTCAATTGAACATGTCCCCTTCTATCCTACGGAGGGACAAGGGAAGTGAAATATTATTTTTGTCTGTGCTAGACTACTGCTGATGCACTGAATCACTTAGATTATTTCTTTAATTATTTGCCTTGTGTGTAATACTGATTGAGAAACTGCCCACAATCAGTTTCAATCAGAACTTCACGCAAAGATAAAGAATATTTAAAAAAATTAATCTAAGTGGTTCAGTGTATCAGTGATAATCTAACACACACAAAAAATTTAATCACTTTCTCTGTTCCTCCACAGAGGAGCAGGAGAAATGTTCAATTTGCTGATATCCTGAAGTGGTTCATTTATTAAGCCACTTCATGATACCAGAAAATCAAACCAGCTGCAAGACTTGATCCATTTCCAACTAGAGCATTCCAACCCACAAAAAAGGTAGAAGCCCCTGAGAGAGGCTCAAAAATGTGCAGATCGGGGTGCCCTGGGGACAAATTGAAGCAAATTGGTCCACTCGCTGTGTGATCACCAGAAAGAAGAGTGAACCAATCCACCTCCACAAAACAGTGGGACAAATGGTAATCTGAACGAGTCATTCGTCATTCCTATCAATGAAGCTATTACAGAAAAAAAGGTTCCTTCAGAAAAATGCAGGTTTTGCTCAAACAGGAGGGCAAAAAGGCATGCAAGCCATTACAAGATAAATGCAAGCAGGGAACAAAGGATACAAAACAAAATCATATCTACTAATAACATTAAAACCCCAAATCCCATTGCAAAATACTACACATGTAATAATGCTATTTTTGCAATTTGCAAGTTGTCATTCACACACCTAGAGAAGGCTACAGATTGACAGCATGACAAACAGCTAAACTGCTGTCTGTCATGCAATTGCTATTACATAACAGCATACATAACTCAATAGGATTCTGGCTAACAAAAACAACATTGAGGGATTTATGCCACATTGAGTGTCTAGCTGGTGTTTGAAAGTTAAATTACATAAACACAGGAAAACATCCAAATCATTGCTGTTTGTCAAGGCAAAGGAGCTTTACCTGTCTCATTTTGGTAAACGGGTACAATGCTCAAGGTCACAGACTCTCCTTTTCATCTTTTGCTGCCCTTTTTTCTCTCCCAAATGAGACCATCAACAGTATTTTGGGAACATGTTTTAGAGTAAATTGCCTAGCAACCAGTGTTGAGTAAATCTCACCTTTTCCATACAGCTACCTCTTCCTTTTCTTCAGTGGTTAAACTAAAATTGTAACTGTAACTACAAAAAAAATTAAAACAGCCAGATCTTTAACATTCCCAACATTTTGGTGTACACTTCCCTACTAGCTCCACCCAGCATGGCTGATGGGGTGAGGGTTTGTAGGAGGTGCAGTTCCAAATATCTAGATCAGTGGTTCCCAACTTTGAGTCTGCAGCTGTTCTTGGACTAAAACTCCCAGAAGCCCTCACCACTAGCTGTGCTGGCCAGGATTTCTAGGAGTTTTAGTCCAAGGACATCTGGGGACCCAAGGTTGGAAACCATTGATCTAGAGGGTAATAAGCTAAGGCATGTAATTCTAAAGAGAAGACAACTCTGGCTTGGCTCCACTGTTTTTGTAGCCTGAGCACAAGTCCAAAAGCACAAGAAAACCTTTTGCCTTCTCACCAAGGTAGTAAATTTCTATCTAGACTTGTGATGAGTAAAATGCAACATGCAGACCACTGGAAATGAACTCTAGCATAACCCAAAAGATGACAATATAACCTACCAGGTAATATTCTGCCAATGAGAGCATCTAACAACCAAAAGGTTTCCTCTTCATTCCTTGTAATAAGAATCAGGTATCCTGCTATGAAATTCATGCCCTGCAATTAAAAAAAAAAGGAGGGGTAGAGATCTATTCATCTAGAAGTTCTAGCTTGACTTCATCTTGACAAATATAATCATAAAGGAGCCAAGAAATAAAATTAAGAATGGACCAACAAACTTCATATCAATTATTTTTAAAAAAAACTGGCTTGCAGATATGATTAAAGCACATCACAGTTTCTGAAACTACATTACAAGTATTAATTTGATAATCCAGTAGATAACATGAATATTTAGTAGAAGGCAGGCATTGCATCACGGCCTCTCCCAATTTGAAGAGACCCTTATCCAGCAGGCCGAGGTGAAGAGGAAGTCGCAAAAGCAGGGAGCTGGACAGGGGTCAGATTGGATTTGTCTTCAGTGTGGAAGAGATTGTCACTCTCGAATTGGCCTCCTCAACCACACTAGATGCTGTTCCAAGTCCTCCATATAGAGCACATTACCATAGTCTTTCGAGACTGAAGGATGCCTAACTAAATAATCTAAACATTCACTGCCTCAATTGATGCCATCAGGTTTCTCACCAAACCTTCAAAAGCCACAACAGTATCCAAGTTTACAAACTGGTAAATTAAAGAACAGAAACAGCACTAATACAGAATAAAACAAAATAAAACAAAACAACCAATTTCTGTAACTCAATATGAAACTTTTTTATGGTTTCTGGGAAGAAAAATCACCCCAGCATCAAATTTTGAAGTTACTTTCTCCATTTAGTTTCCAATAGTTTAGTTAATAGTTTATATAGCAACCAGCCAAACAGTTTTCCCTTACTGTTCAATGGCAAGGAAAATCCAATGGTCACTAACAAGATTAGGAGGCGAGAACTTGCAGAATAATTGATAATCACATCCTGTGGTATTTATTTTGTTTCTCCTCCTTTCTGATAATGTGAACAAGTTTTTTTTTCCAAATAGTATCTAAAATTAAAATACTTAATCCAACATCAAAGCCCAGTTCAGGAGCTCACTGTCCACTTGTGTGAACTACCGAAGCAGTTCAGTGTATGAAGATTCAGAAAGCAGGCCAGGGGAGGCAGTGTTATGCTGTGGGCAATGTTCTGCTGGGAAATCTTGGGTCCTGGCATTCATGTGGATGTTACTTTGACATGTAGCACCTATAGACTGCTGCACACACCTTCATGGCAATGGTGTTCCCTGATGGCAGTGGCCTTTTTCAGCAGGATATTGCACCCTGCCACACTGCAAACATTGTTCAAGACTTGTTTGAGGAAAGTGACAAAGAGTTTAAGGTGTTGCCTTGGTCTCCAAATTCCGTGCATCTCAATCCTTTTTCTCCCCATTTAATTTATACCACACCTCTACAATACAAACTAGCACTCAAGGTGCCTTAAGTAGCACTCAAGGCTTGACAATAATAAGCAACAGAGATAATGCAACTGGATCACTGGATTTCAGTATCATAAAATATAGCCCACTATGTTATCAGCCTTAGGCAATAAGGATGAATTAAGGAACCAAGTGACAAGTAGCTCAGACATTTATAACATAGGTACTCTGGTACAAAGCAGAGCAAAAACACAGGTTCTGTAAGTAATGTGTTCAAAAATCTCCCAATTTGTAGCAGGGGAAAGAAAAGACCAGCATCAAGCTAGCTCCACCAGAAGTCTGGTACCCTCAAGATGAGAGGACATAGAAGTTATAATTCAACACATCTGGAGAGTACCAGGTTGCAGGAGGGTGGTTTCATTCTTGACATACAGTCTTCTAGGGAGTTTATACATTCATGTCAATGTTAAATACATTCACACTTTTTATAACATGGTTTATTTCTCTATACATGGCCATATTTTTTGTAATAAAGGTGGAAAAACTCGATCATAGCCATACAAACAGATAATCTGGACATTCTGAATTATATGATAGCTTTAAAATATGCATGGTCACTAGTATCAATTGCATTCATTCGGGTCTGAACTTTGAGGTCATCTCTGGTTTCCTTCTTTCCCTCCTTCCTTCCCTCCTTTCTTTTTAAAACCCTCCCTGTTTGTCTTTCACTATCTTCTTCCATAGTGTGGAAAGAAAAAAGGGGGGAAAAACTTCCCCACTCTCCTTCCTGAACAGTCACAATTTGGGCACAATCAGGAGGAAAAAGTCAACAGAGGGAATACTTAGGGGGGAAACAGCAGTGTTTTTTCCAAAAATATTTTGCTTGGTTCAAATACAGCCATTGTTCTTCTTACATTCCAGGAGCCCATCCCCATCTGTTCCCATCTAATGGCCAGTCTCCAGAAAGGTTCCCCCTCCATTCCATCTCTCCCTCCCCACCAGCTTCTCTTGCCAGTCTGTAAAAAGCCAACAGCTGTTGTGAGAACTGTTCAGTGTGGTTGGGAGGTATTTGCCCTCCAATTGTGAGGATGCCTTTTCAGTCCTTACCCTTCCAGTTTGCTTGGACAATAGCAACCATGGTGACAGAAGGTTATTTGGCACTTAAACTAAAGCAGGCACAAAGGCTGCCCCTCCGGAGACATTCAGGGAGCAAACACATTCGCTAATTATACACAGCCAGCATAAAAGAGAATTGCTGCATATAACTAGCAAAGCAAACTATTTAACTGTTCCAAGGGAAAGTTCACTATTACACTTCTCAATGCAAGTTGACTACCTAGCACACTAACATTAGTGTACTGAGAGGCATCACAAAGCTCCTGATACACAAGCTCAATTTATAAAGAATTGTATGCATTACTCTCAGAACTCACTGGATTCTTAGAAGGCAATGCAGTCTACTCCCTTCCACAATTCGTCTTGTGGTATATATATTCTTTTATCTAATTGAAAAGTCTTTGCTTGATTTTTTAAAATTTCTCAACTGATAGAAATTACATGAATTTTGGAAAATAATGGTAACTTTCTTCATCATCATGAGCCCCATGCAGTGAAGCTATTCCACCTGCACCATGGCTTATGCTAGCTAGGGCTGATGGGAGTTGCAATCCCATCTTTGGACTTGGTTGCAGTCTCCATCTTGAGTTGCTAACACCCTTTCCTTTGAAGTCAGCAGGATTTCCAAGACAATGCTTAAAACTATATGCTAACAAAAAAGGAAAGAGAAACCCTGGACAAAATAGTCTCAGGAGACATCCTATGTTCAAGCCATCAGTGCTTTTTTATCCTGAGCTTGTGCTGCTTCCTCTTCCTTCTTGTTCAACTATCACTCTGTACCCTCCAATGCTGGCTGAATGAGTTGGCCCTCAATTCCCACATCGTTGCACAGAAAACTGTGTTTCTGAAAATGCTAGAACAGAAGGTCAAGCCTGATGTAATCAGTCTTATAGACTATTTGGGACAGAGCTTAGATCAATCACTTTTGGACTACAACTCCCAGAACCCATCAATCAGCACAGATTCTGGAAGTTGTAGTCCCGCCAAAAAAGCATGTTTTCCAAGCTCTGCCATTCACAGATTCTGGGAGTTGTAGTCCTGCCAAAAAAAAGCATGTTTTCCAAGCTCTGCCATTGAATAGGGCTAGAAAGCCACCAGTGAGGAAGCCAACTGAAACTATTAAAATAATATTAGAATTGGGACATAACATTGTGTAAATGCCATGAAAATAAGATTAAATAAGTGAAACTTCTGTTGCTCAATGCTTGCACCATGGTCAAGCCTATAAAAGCTATAAATGTATCAGCTACAGAAGTTACTTGTGTTGGCAATTCTTACAGTTACATACCTGACAGTATCCCACGGATTGATTATGATGTCCATATGCCACTAACACATTGTACAGTGTCTTCTGTAAACATGGATCAGCAGTTTTGCGGAATTTCACATTGTCTGGAAATGTCCTATTCATGTCTAAAATAAAGAAATAAACAATTTCAAATATCTGCCAAAAATTATGATCCATGGAACAAAATCTTCAGATTAAAACCACAATCCGCTCTTACTAATCCCTGGAAAACACGGATAACAGAATGTTTCTCCCAAGCACTTGTTTTATTCACTTCAAAAAATGAAAATTATTGAAAATGAAGCTTGGCTTTTAGATACACTCCCATTTGTCTTCAGAGTCCTCTTTCACCATACAGAACTAATAAATCTTGCTCACTAAGGCTGAAATCCTAAAATCCTTACTATGAAGTAATCCTTCTTGAAAACAGTGAGCTTAATTACAAGTGAACATAGCACAGGATTTAATTCCAAATAAATACACATAAGATTCCACTGTAACCACTATAAAAGTAAAAGTTTTTCATTACAGTATTCTTTCAGAGTGCAATTTAAGACAGCAGTTCAATCCAGACTCACTTGTACCTGCATAAATCATACAGAAGGCAACTGGAGTTAGGTGCATGGAATTATATAGTGGAACGTTATCAGGCAAACATAAGACATGCCAGAATCCTGCTGGTTAGTTATGCTGGTGCAATTGCAATGTCACAAACTGCAGCAACAAATTTCTGCTTTTTAATGAACTTATATCCTTCACTGTGCAGTACTCACCTGAGTTGTACAACGAGGGATACAAGGAGAATCCTATTAATAATAATCATGCGCACTAGTTAAGTCAATTCTGACCTATGGCAACCTTTTTCAGGCTGCTGTGATTTAAGTCACTGCACTTACGTCAGCATAACTAACAAAAAAGATTCTAGACATTTAGAATCAGTTGCGCACATAAAATCCATTGAAATCAAAGGAACGCAAGTTATTCTCCCCTTCAAACTTAAGCATACAAACATTTATTTCAAAGTAATTCCTAAGTTAATGTGATGAGACTCATCTTCTGGAAAATATTATCATCTTAAGAAATGTTTTACAAGCCATAATGAAATTCAAGGAACAAGGAGTAGATAAGAAGCAGAGACGACAGAGACATATGCCAATATTCCAGCATGTTATCTTACTAAAAACCACACAATATTTGTTTCAGGCAAAGATGAGCTCATTAAAAAATATCAAAAACAGATCTAAGAGGGGGGAAATTGTGCTTTATCCCATTCACCTACATGCATTAGTCTCCCAGACATGCATTGTTTCCCAGGGAAACAAATACAAGGTGACATAAATGCAAAAACCTTTTCCTTTAGAAAAAGTCAAAGCTAGGATACTTTTTAAGGACAGAAATGCACCCTCATCTTTAACTTCTTGTGAACTTCTTGTTCACTCCTACCTGTGTTTCGAAGCTGAATATCAAAACATTCAGTCCAATTAGCCTAAACATTACAACATTAGCCTATATATTAGTACTTCAGGAAGAATAAAAGGTTTCTGTTTGTAATCGAACTATGAGAGGAGTCTCAAGATGAAGATATTTCATTATATATTTTTTAAAAAATCTGAACTTCACTGAACACTGCTTCCTCTAAATACAGATTGGACCCTGATATAGTCATACTTAATAATACACTCAACAAAATCAGCAAAGCTTTAGTAATTGTTTCATGGGGGTCTGCTTCTTCATTCAGGAAGAAAGCACAAATTCAGTACCTTCAATCCATCTTCCCATTAGACAGTGAAATCTTAGTGTGATTTCAGCAAGGTTCCCCGTCCCCGATATAGCAGTATGCACAGTCTCAACCTAAAGAGAGCAGCCACATAGATATACATGTGCTGAGTGTGGCCATCCTTATGAAAGCCACATGCATAGCTTTCAATTACAGTATACCACAGAAGTGAGTACACCCCCTCACTTTTCATAAATATTTTAGTATACCTTTTCATCCGACAACACTGAAGAAATGACACTTACAGTAGCTACAATGTAAAGCAGTGAGTATACAGCTTATATAACAGTGTAAATGTGCTGTCCACTCAAAATAACACAACACAGCCATTAGTAACTAAACCGTTGGCAACAAAAGTGAGTACACCCCCAAGTGACAATGTCCAAATTGGGCACAAAGTGTCAATATTTTGGGTGGCCACCATTATTTTCCAGCACTGCCTTAAACCTCTTGGGCACAGAGTTCACCAGAGTCACAGTTGCCACTGGAGTCCTCTTCCACTCCATAACGACATCACAGAGCTGGTGGATGTAAGAGACCTTGCGCACCTCCACTTTCCATTTCAGGATGCCCCACAACAGGGTTTAGGTCTGGAGACATGCTTGGCCAGTCCATCACCTTTACCCTCAGCTTCGTTAGCAAGGCATTGGTAGTTTTGGAGGTGTGTTTGGGGCCGTTATCATGTTGGAATACTGCCCTGCGGTCCAATCTTTGAAGGGAGGGGATCATGCTCTGCTTCAGTATGTCACAGTACATGTTGACATTCATGGTTCCCTCAATGAACTGGAGCTCCCCAGTGCCAGTAGCACTCATGCAGCCCCAGACCATGACACTCCCTCCACCATGCTTGACTGTAGGCATGACACACTTGTCTTTGTACTCCTCACCTAGTTGCCGTCAGACATGCTTGACACCATCTGAACCAAGTAAGCTTATCTTGGTCTCATCGGACTATAGGATATGTTTCCAGAAACCCATGTCCTTAGTCTGCTTGTCTGCAGCAAACTGTATGTGGGCTTTCTTGTGCATCATCTTTAGAAGAGGCTTCCTTCTGGGATGACAGCCCTGGAGACCAATTTGATGC